TGTTTTATGAGTAACTACTGTTCCTATAACTTGTTTAAAATTAAAACTTACATGTAAAAAAAAGTATTCAACTAAATAGTGATAACAATATATATTTTTTAAAGTTCTTTATCAATATTCTACTTGACTTTAAAAAAAAAAAAAAAAAAAAAAGGTTATACTGTATATGGAGCCCTGGTGGCAAAGTGGTTAAGAGCTCAGGCTGCTAACCAAAAGGTCAGCAGTTCGGATCCACCAGCCACTCCTTGGAAACCCTATGGGGCAGTTCTAACCCTGTTCTGTAGGGTCACTATGACTCGATGGGACCCAACAATAACAACAACAATATACTTTATGTACTTCATATTTCTGTATGTGCAATGTAAAAATGTAAAGGGTAAAAATGCATATTCATTCCAATCCTTGTCAGCATTTCCTATGTGTGGGAAACTAAAATAAAGAGCTTTCTAGTCAAATGGCAGAGCACAAGGAAACTAGGTGTCAGAGCGAAAATTCTGCAAAACCCCTTGAGGCTCTTGATGTCCTCCAGCCTATGTCCTCTCATCTCCCTAGGGAATCCTCTCCCTCCACCCTTGTTTAAATCTTGCAGATCCCCGTAGTCTCCTCTTGGCTGTGGTTATTTTCATTCTACACTTTCTTCCTGGATGATTTTATCCACTCTGGCTATTTTTAACCATGACTCCCAGATCCTGATCTCCAGGCCTGACCTTTCCCCCTAGACTTAGACACACATCCAGCTGTGGGTATTATTTTTGTCATTCCCCTACCTGGCCCCCCATCCCCCCACCCCAGGCCCTATGCACCGGCTACCTGTCTACCCAGAACACTCTGTCATGTCAGGCTCTTACTCCTAGACCCATCTCAGGTGTCACTCCCCCCACCAGTGTCCCCACCAGCCTGAGTGACACAGGTGTCCCTAATACCTGTTCCTATAACACCCTGAGCACCTTTCTTTACATGTAGCCTGTTATCATCATCTTTCGGGGTCTGTGTTCCACATTAGACTTGAGTTTCCTGACAGCTGGTTATTAGTCACAGGTGTAACACATTATATTCAATAAATTGTGGAACAGACAGGTTCCATTTTTAATCTGAGTGGGTGCACTTAAGAAGCCATTAACTCCAAACCAGTTTGTCTTCAGGGGAAACATGCAAATTCAGGTTCACAAGCTATAACCATTTATTACTCTTTTCTGTTATAAACTGAATTGTGAATTGCCTATAATTAGTAAAATAGTCACCGGACTTATTTTTATGGTTTATTAGCACAAAAGTCACAGGACTGCTAGAATGCCGTATGTTTACTATTTCGGTAGTTCCCATGACTACTGCAACTCACTCTAAATCCAATTTCAATCATGAAGATGGCACAAGACTGAGCAACATTTTGTTCTGTTATGTATAAGGTCACCATGTGTTGAAGCTGACTCTACAGACCCGTTGCCGTTGAGTCGATTCTGACTCAAAGCTACCCTACAGGACAGAGTACAACTGCCCTGCAGTTTCCGATGAGTGGCTGGTGGATTCGAACTGCCGACCTTTTGGTTAGCAGCCAAATGCTTAACCACTGTGCAACCAGGGCCCCTGTGGAAGCTAACAACTATTAACTGAACTTTTCTACATGGGAAACACGGTGCCCCGATTTACAGTATCTCATTGAATCCTCCCTAAAACTGTCTCAGGTAAACTCTATTATTATACCCATTATATAGATGAAACAGGTTTAAAAAGGTTGAATCATTTTTCCATAATTACACAGCTAGTAAGTAGCAGAGGTAATTTGAATCCAGGTCTTATTCCAGAGAGCGGGAGCTCTTATGCACCATGTCATGTAGCCTTTCCACAATTAGAAGGGGCGGGATGCCCTATCCTTTCAATATTACTTTGTAAGGAGTTTGCATATAGTATGCCAGTCATCACTAATGGTGGGGCCAGGCAAACCTTATGATTCCAAGCAGGCAAAACTGAACAGACCAGTTCTCAGAGACACAAAGGCAAGACTGGTCCTGCAGGAAAAACAGAGATCAAACAAATCCTGGTGAGGTTACAGCCTGCCATGTTGGATGGCTTATCTGCGTAGGAAGGGGTGCCTATGCATGTAAATAAAAGCATGGTTTCATAAATCTACTGAAAATCAGAATTCAGTATTCATCATTTATTAGTCCTACGCCTGCTTCCATGTGGTCTCACATTTGAAGAAATATGGCCTTTTAAATGAACAATGTTATGTGATAAGAATCACCTGTTTAACAAGGAGCACAAGATGAATTGATTTTGTAGGAGGTATGCATTCTCAACTGCCAATAAATTATTCAGGTTAAAAAAACAATCCGCAAAAATAGAAATGGTGAAGGGCTGACTGAACCTTGAGGTAGGGTAGGTTTAAGTGTTGAGGGCTCAAGACACAGCATTTTTTTTTTCTTTTTTCCAGGAAGACTTCAACTCTGACTCATAGGAAAGATGATTCCAAAGACATGAAATCTAAACTGGGATCTTTTTTATGGGCCTGTGGGCAAGGATGAAGCTTGTTGAGCAGGTGAAACGGAATTGCCAACCAGTGGCAGAATAGGATTGCTAGTGTTTTAACTTTTAAATGTGAATTCCTGATCTGAAATGCATTTCTCCCTGTACTTAAATCACGTGGCCTTACCTTTCTCCTCACATATGAAACCAACGTTGTGTCCGTAACAATGGAACCCCTGTAAAGGCATTGTTGGAAAGAGGTCATTACTTCAGGCAGTGGTAGGACACACAGGATTTCCAGGAGGCTATGTGCTGAGTACTAACCCCTTAAAGCAAGGGATTCTTTTTGTTATAAACCAAAATCAAACCGATCACATTTCCGGAGAAGTTTGATCTGTTGGAGACAAGACCACAGTGAAGTTGGAACCTTGAGAACATCATTTTAAAAGCTCACAGGCTCTGTAACTCGGGACTAAAGGCGCTGCACTGTTACGCAACATGAATGCCAGGGCAACGAATTTCCAACCTCATGACTCATGCTTCTGCATTACACTTACTACTACTGACTGTTTTCTTCATTTTAAAGAAACGTGAACCAAACATAAGAATCTGAAATCCAAAACCTGAAAACACGGCAGCTGTCAGGCTAAGAAAATTTTCTTAAATTGATACCATGTTATCAGAGTCACCCTTTGAAGGCAAAAAAATCACTCCACCTTTTGAGAAGTATGGAGAGTGAGAATGGCCGAAGAAACAACTTCTTGCCCGAGACCGGATTGGCCCCTTGGTTCCCTTCCTAGTAATGGATCCTGAACTACCCAAACACACACACACAGCTCTGGTCAGGGAGCATAAAAATAATGCACCCACCCCACCCCCCGAATGCGCACCTATTTCTGCCTCTCCTTTACCTTCAGGTGAACAGGGAGCGACCTACCCTGCCCACCTCCAAGCCAGCAGGTCCCTTCTGGTCTCCCTTATCAAGCCATAACGCCTCAAGGGTGACCTGCGAACCAAAGCAGCCCAGTGGGTGGCTCAAGCCGACCCACCATTACCTGCTCTAAAGGTTTCCCGGCCGTCCCGCGACTACACAGCTCTCTCCACCACATGATTTTCACCGACTTTATTGGTCCCCGACCCGGGCAGGGTCCTCGCCTCCCACCTCCCCACTAGATCGCGCCAGCTCTTCATAACACCCAGCACATCCAAAGACACTGAAGGCGGCCATGAAAAGAGCCTTTCCTGGGGAAGCCGGACTCCCTTGCTCCCCGGTGGAAGCGTCGGGGTCACTTGCTCTTCGTCTTCTGACTCTCGGTCTTCTTGGGCAACAGCACGGCCTGGATGTTGGGCAAGACGCCGCCCTGAGCGATGGTCACTTTCCCCAGCAGCTTGTTTAGCTCCTCGTCGTTGCGGATGGCTAGCTGCAGGTGGCGAGGGATTATCCTGGTTTTCTTGTTGTCACGCGCGGCGTTGCCAGCCAGCTCCAGGATCTCCGCCGTCAGGTACTCCAACACCGCCGCCAGATACACCGGCGCCCCAGCGCCTACCCGCTCCGCGTAGTTCCCTTTGCGCAGCAGCCTGTGCACTCGGCCCACCGGGAACTGCAGGCCCGCGCGGGAGGAACGGGACTTGGCCTTTGCCCGCACTTTGCCGCCCTGCTTTCCGCGACCGGACATGCCTGCCTCTCACCTAAAACTCCAGGAAGGAAGGAAAAGACAGCGCTCTCGGTCCGGATACGAGAACGCAGAGCGCCACCCCGGAACTGCCTTTCCTGTTTTGCTTCCACTAGGCAGCCAGCGTCCTTCCATCGGGGGCCGCCACAAACTCGGCTCCGGTGACCAATGACAGGCAGGCTCCGTTCCCAATTAGCTGGCTAGGAGAGGGACCGCCTTCTCCAGCTGTCACCAATAGAAAGAGGAAACTTCTAGTCCTCATTTACATAGCCGCCCATATGAATGTCCAGAGCCCCAATGCTGGTTATCTGCAAGCCCGCTGAATTTAATGGATACTGAGGTTTCAGTATCCACGCTCCCTCCCAGGAAAAGAAAGCCTAAAGAACGAAGGAAGCACGGTTGGAAATATAAAAATCCGGAAGAAGAGCTACTCCATCCGTAAGGAGGAAGTGCTCAAGCAATTGAGTTCACACCTTGCGCCGGACACTACTATGCTTCCTAGCTGGATTTCCTCATTCAGTTCAGCATCCAGCAAGGTAGTTATCTAACTCCACAGCCCGTTTCTTGGAGGCAACACTCTCCTCAAGCGAAATCACAACCTCTCTACCGAATTCAGTGTGCCTAATACAGGTTACGTTGCCAGTTCCTTTAAACAAGAGCCTTGCTCCTGCCAACCTTAATGGGCCGGTTGTTAGCCAAACAGCGTGGAAAGCTGGCTCCAAAAGAGGTTTCTTCAGTAACTGGCCATTTGAAGTTTCTTAACTAAACTGGCTGACACTGGCCTCCCCACGAAGTTCTGCGGCTCTCAGGCTGCCAACCTGTGCTTCTAAGGCCTCCTAAACTAGAATGCTAGACTAGGCGCGAATGCTTTCTGCACAGACGCCAGGAACAAGATCACTTGGCCAAAACTTAGAACATCTCTTTTCTTTGCGGTATGGGCCTGAAAACAGCCTTTGGATTCCAGTAAGAGGCCTCAGGCCGCAACTCAGGCTCTGAGGCTAAAAGTCTTGGATTGGGCTTGCCCTGTGTAGGTCAGGGCGGCGCTGCAGATCACGCTCTCCAGGACGATTTTGAGAGCACCCAAGTCTCCTTGTAGATGAGCCCAAAGGTAGATGCTGTCAGTTAAGACTTTCCGGTGGCGCTTGGTGTTCCCCTTCCTGTCCTTTACTGCCTTTGCGGCACTCAGAGGTGATGAAGAGACTAAAGGAAGACCGGCAGCAACTGTCCTTACACAGTTAAATGGCAAATTCATAGCAAACTAATTTTTTTATTTAGAAATTACTTTCTACTAATGTTTCTTTTCCCTCAACATTCTTCACAATTAAACAGTTACACTGCTGTGATGTAATGTTAAGCATTCACTTATTGAAATAATTTTATTTGAATTATATCCATTCAAAGTAGAAGTGAAAATTACCTTCTCACTATCTGAATAAAGATTTGATTTCCTTGAAATAACATTTTCAATTTTTATGTGTATGTCCTTAGTGCCTAACTCAATGATTAACCCATAGTAGAAACTCAATAAATGTCTTTGGAGCTGAAAAGCAGTGTGTTGTTATGGTTAAGGCAGTCATCCTGGAGCCAGACTGCCTGGGTTCAAAACCTGACTCTACCACTTACCAGCTGATCTTGGATAAATTATTTAACCTTTGCATATCCTACAGCCTTGTTTTGAAGGTTAAATACATTAGTAAACATCCAGTAACTTAGTTATACTGGATAAATTAACATACAAACCTCTGATGCAGTTTTTAACAAGATATTCCTGGAATGAGTTCTGTGAAGTGAGTTAACTTTTTGCCTATATCCTGGAAAATTCTTAACAGAGAGTTGTTTATTATTATTATTTTGGGCATGGTTTTTCCTTTTATTCTTGTAAGCAAGAAGGATTTCTAACCTGAAATATTCTAACATTAACTTCTTAGAAAGACAAGTAAATATAAATAAGTCAGCCTATTTTATTGTTACAAGAATCCTGATCTCTTCAAGATCTGATACTTTTCTTCTGTCCTAATCAAGGATTAAAATTGTGTAGTACAGTTTGACCAGTTTGACTATTCAGGATTTTTTTTTTTCAGCCATAAAAAGTGTTCTGTAGGCTCTTTTAATTCATCTTTAACAAAAAGATGGTTTATGAAGATGGGCAGGATTGAAACACAGGTAAACTGTAAGCATTTATAAATGTAAAAATTTTCCACAAAGCTTTCCTACTAGAAAGGCTCATCTTTCAAAACTAGCAGGAGGGAGCCCAGTTTACTAAAATACTCTTCAAGATGTTAAGTACCTGGGAAATAAATTATGAATTACCTTCTAAGTACTGCTGCTTTTTAGCTCAGTAAAACCTTCCAAGAGCAGTGACGCATTGTTTTTTTTTTCCAGGCATTCTCGTTAAGAAACTGATTAGAGCTTCCTGATTGGGATTTGCAATATAAGTCATCGTTCAAAACCACAAGTGTGGCATCTATTATTTTAAAAGAACTTGACATTTTTAAATAGAAGAGTTGACAATCTCAGATATGACTGAAATAAAAAAAAAAATTAAATCACATAGAGCTATCTGCTTGAAAGGCAAATAAAGGCTTCAAGGGGGGAAAAGGCAGAAAAATCTGCAGATTGCCCAGAGGAAAAGGATGAGGCAGGAGTGAGTGGAGTAAGGCTGACCTATTGAAATAATTCTTAATTATAAAATTTCTCTGCAGGGCCACAAAGCGAAAAAAAGATTCATTAAAAAATTTCCTCTCCACCACCAATGACTAAAAAAAGACCCACGAGTGGAAAGCTGTAAAGTAATTGCTTTGACATGTAATAAGATGTAACGAGTTCTTTGCTTCTATACCTTGATTTTCACATTAGTCCTCGAATGGTATTAAGAATTCCTTTTAACATAGTTTATAAAGACAATATTCTAAATTCTACCTTGGTGAGTAGCGTCTGGGGTCTTAAAAGCCTGTGAGCAGCCATCTAAGATACTCCACTGGTCTCATCCCTTCGGGAGCAA